AAGAAAAAGATACCTCATCTAACCAACCAAAAGGCAACGACAAGAGGAGGAAAGTGAGTCAAGTAGTGAGGGCAATAGAGATGATGAGGCTCTATAACTAGCTGAATAGGTTCCATAAGACAACACCTCAAACACCCAATTAGACAAGGTGGAGTAGCTTGCATCACGATTGGATGACTTCCAACTCAACTTCAATAGCCGGTTTGACCTTTTGAATGAGTAAGTTCAGAATATAAACAATAAAATTAATAGCCAGTTTGACCTTTTGAATGAGCAAATTCGGAATGCAAACAACAATGTCGTAGCTAGATTTCATATGGTCAACACCCAAATCCACCACCTCTATGCCTCTTTCATAACATATTTTCCACCACTTTCATTATGAGAGCTTCTATCCAGATTTTCTCTCTTATCCCTTTTATCTTTTCATGTTATTTATATTTGATCCAGTTTGTGGGACATTGAGGACAATGTCCAATTCAAGTATGTGGGTGCATTTAGCGTTTAGGTTTTTCCTTTTTATTGTTTTTGTGCTTATTTATGTAATCATGTGTTTGTTTAGGTTATCCCCTATAAAAAAAATTAGAAATGAATGAAATGAATGCCATAGTTTAGTATGATATTCTTCTTGATTGATGTTTGATGATAAGTTTGATGAAATTTGATGAGATAGTTGAAAATATTTGGGATATTATTGTTGTTGATATGCATGCATGCTAGAAGCTTTATGTGTTTTTATGATTGAACATAATTTAGATAGTAACATTAACTTTACAAGTACCATTTGGAAACTAAACTTAAGCATGATTTAAATAAATGAGATTTTCTAATTTTTATAAAAATTGAAAAAAAAATTTGAAAAGCATTCTATTAAAAAATTTGGCCTAATTAGGTAAAATTTTTAGTCTAATGATTTGAGTTGCTTAGTAACTAGGAGTATTCATCATAAATATTTACTTTTACGTCAAACGATAGTTCAAGTTATGAATATCAAAGCACTTTAAGTTGATGACTTACTAAGTAATCGATTACCTTCATCACAAATGTCGATAGTCACATAAAGAGGCAAATGATCACTCGGGAAAAAGCTTTTAAAGGCTTTGAACGGAAGAACATTAGGATGCTTAAAAGGGAAAAGTTTGATTAAAGAAAATCTCAATTTATTGATTTGCTTGTAGTGGTAGAAAAAGGGTAAAGGTAAAGTTAGTGTTACATACTTGAATTGTGTTTAGTTATAAAGATGCATAAATTAATTTAGAGACATGCATTGATTTGATAATAATGTTTTGAAAATAATTGATTTGACTATTGGATTTTGTATAATTTTGAATTGAGCATCAATATTTGGAAGAATAATCATATTGGCATGACATTTGTTTAAACAATTTTGTGGGTTTATCATCCGAAAACACTCACAAGACTTATCCACCGAGGGTAACCTAGGAGTTTAATGCTTGTTGCATGTGCTAAATACAACCATGATTCCTACAAAAGTGAGTTAGGTTTTTATTTTGATTGTTTTTCTCAAGGACTAGCAAAGTTTTAGTGTAGAGGTATTTGATAAGTGCATAATTAGCATGATTTTTATGCTCCATTATATTGAATTTTCTAGTTTTTTATTGTATTATATCGGGTGAATTAAGATCAAGATGATAGTTTTGAGTTTTGTAAGAAAAATGACAAATTAGAGTAAGGAAACCCAAAACCAAAGTAAGGAATAAAGAAGTCACCAAAGAGGTTGAGAAGAGTCACATGGTCGTGCCAAATTAAAAGAAAATCGGTCGTTAATCGTGTGACATTAAGGAAGAAATCGTGTGGATTGCTTAGCAAAAACGTCCACAAGGACGGTAGCATTCCATGCTACTAGAGGAAGAAACCCACATGATTGTATGTGTGTCAAGCTGAATGTTCTTTCCGAGAGAAAAAGAAGATGCAACATGAGCGAGTAGGCATTCCATATGGTTTGTCGAGAAGAGAGACGCTTGTGTCTCACAAAGCAAAAGAAGTCTACACGGGCAAAAAGAATTAACATGGCTTGAAGGAAAAAAGCACAAGGTCGTGTGCCTCTATTAAGAAAATCATGTTATTCAAGGCTTCAAACTAAGTAAAAGTAAACAATAAACCATGCAACTTCGTTCAACAACCTATATGACCATGTGAGGCTAACACCTATGTGATGTAACCTTACTTTTAGCTATAAATAGTGATGTTAGTGGTCTTATTTTAAGATTTCAACTTCCAACAACCACCATAGATCTCTCTTTGTAACCCATTATGAATAACTAAATATCATTCTTGGTTGAATCAAGTTGAAGCTTTTGGTGAAATCGTTGTGAGATTACGAGTTTTATTTCTAAACTTATCTTGTCTCGATAATTTATGTTTTTTTTTTTTTTTTGCATGATTGGTTTGTAGTTATGTGATTAAATTGATTAGAGTGCGCACTAGTTGTTTGATTATATTAACTTAATTCTAGCCAAGTATTCAAGTTCGTGTAATTGCTTATCTAAACTTGCTTGTGCTAGTAACTAGGGATTAATGATTATTTTTCATGTTTTCGTTCAATCCCTTAGAAAATATAGAACTAGGTTACATCTTTCTATCACTTAGAAGAGTGGCTTAGCTTCACTTGTCTTTCACTCGATTAATGTTGTTATTGGATTAAATTTATCTAATTCTTAGTAGGTTGTTCAGCGAGCTAGAGAATTAATTGGGTATCCTATATTCGGTGACCGACTAAGTAAGGAAAGGTTAGGGACAACATACATATTGTTGTCATATGATGAATATTCATGCTTAGGATAAGTTAATGATTTAATCGATGATCGGCGACCAAACGAAAAGCGGATATTGAAGTTCAACCAAGGCTCCTTTATTATTGTTATTTTGATTTAGTTTAATTGTTTCCAAACACTTCAAACAGAAAACCCCTCTCTTTACTACTTTTACATTACAAGAACAATCAACTGCAAGAAACTCGTCAATTAAGCTTCCTTCATGTGGATTCGACCCTTACTTGCCCTAATTGTATTATTGTGGTTAAATTCGTAAGAACAATATAAATATCTAATTTGTTGACGATACGGCATGCCATCAAATATCTAGTTAATTTTGTGACAAAAAGAAAATAAGGTGTGTTTATGATCTAAAATAAAATAAGGTTCGATGTGATTTTTGAGTTACATATGTATGCAAAAGTAATGTTTTGATAACAAGAGATTAAAAAGTATTTACAAATAAATTCTTTTATCAAAGTTTTGTGAAGTGGTGCTGATCATCTTAGATACTATAAATCCAATAATTAAATTAACAGATATTATATATATGTACGGATAAAACCCTAAACAATGGATAGAAGTCATCTCTTTGATGACACCAACTTCCCGGTATAATTTGAGCAACAAAATGAAAGAAAATCTATATCATTAAATAATACAAAATCTATATCATTAAATAATACTTACTTATGTGAACAGTGAACAACAATTTAACATCAATAGATTGGTTTGGATAGAATATCACAAATATAAAAAATAAAAAATAAATTGAAATATAGATCGAATAAAAGAATTTATATATGAATAATCTTTAAATGTTTAAAATTTATGAATCTAAAAGAGAAATGAAGGGGTCAAAGCAGCATGGTTTTGTCATTGCATGATAACCCATACCATTTCGACGAAGTTGGAGGAGAGGAGTGAGCTCCAATGAAATCCTTTCTTGTCTGGTTTTAGAGTTGTGAAATGTTGCATCCACATGATTCCCTCATTCTAGTTTTTTTTTTTTTTTTTTTTTTGGAGGATCATTTATCTTGGTACTTCTATTGAAGCAAACAATTGTTATTGCTGCTGTGCTGCTTATTTGAAACCAATTTCCGTGGTGTTTTGAATGACTGACCAAATCGTAAGTTTAGTTGCTGAAATTCTAGTATTATCACTTTCCCTCTGATTACTTGCCAATTTCAACTTGAAAACGGTATCGGCCCATGTTATGTCCGGGTGAGTCACCGCATGAATAAGTAGCACCGTGAAATTAGTTTCCTCACATTTTCAGGAGAAGCAGCAAAATTGCGCTCCTTTAGAAAGATTTAAATGCTTAAGTCTCCCTCGATCATTTGATCAGGTGCTGGCTTTTACAGTTAAAGTAGTCCTACAAGCTTGGAAGGAGCAAACAATCAGGGCTACACCATCACTGGAAAACAAGCATGCCATTGCAAGTCCTATGGGCTTGGTCCTCAGGGGTCCATTGACATTTTTCACTCGCAGAATTAGAGGTCCTTCATTGATCAATCTGGCAGCAAGAATTAACTGCTGAGAATTTTATACTTTGTTTCAAAAACATCTCGAGTTCCCCCGTTTGCTTCATAAGTATTTCTTAGGCCCTTCTCTTACTGGTATCGTTTTGGGAATGCAAGTCATCGTCATCCATCAATCAGTACTCCACTACTGCACCAAACTTTGAAGGAAACAGTTTTCTGAATGGTGGGAAGCCTTACCAGGATTACGTATCCAGGTAAGATCCCAATAAAATTCACTTGTCTATTTCTAAAACAGATAATATTAAACTGGAAAGCCACTTGGGAAATCCAACAAGTATATAATGCAGCTTGTTGGGCATCCGAAAAACGCTAATGACCAGAAATAAAATTCAAAACCTGAATCACAGAAGAAATGACATGATACTGCCTAAAGGATTTATTATCACCAGAGCGTTTGACAAACTGACCAACCTTACAGGCTAAAACCTGTGTACACCACAACCTGCTTAAGAGATAAATATTTACAATAAGAGAACACCAGACCTGACTTAATGCTGACTAACCTACTTTGTTTTCCCACACAAAGGTGTCAAGGATCTTGCAAGTTCTCTACATTTCGACAAATGAAGGAGAACAAGTTCTAAACACCAACAGACTAAATCAAATAAATGCGAAGGACGCAAACAGCCAGAAAGTCTTCCAATCGCTATGAACAAATCAAACACAAGGGATAGAAGAAATCTTACATCCAGTTCTGAGGCACCATAAGTGATTTTCTTGGCTCGGATGGATCTCCAGCTACAACTTGGTTGCTGCTTGAGCCAACACCAGAACCACCAGCAAGCATTGCCATCAAACTGCCACCATGCACCCTGCCTTCTGATATAAAAGCTGGCATTGACGAGAGACCTGCTTCACTGACGGAGAGATGAGCATTTGACACTCCAAAATGTTTCAAATCAGAAGTGGTTCCACCTGTTGAAACCCCTGCACTAGTACCCATCTTCACAATATCAACAGTCATGTCCTCAGCAGTGGCAACTTCTTTCATCTTCTCGGACAGGCTAATCTTGGGGTCAAGGACCATAGGTCCCAAGGTGACACCACCATGAACCCTCTTGTCTTGCACCAAGCCACTGTGAAGTGCACAGAGACCTGTCTTACCCCTTGCAAATGAGTTGCAAGGAGCAGTAGGTTGGTTACCATATTCTGACCCAGGATGACCCCAAGAGCATCTCTTCCCTCCACCATGGGCCTTACAGAAATCAGTGCTGCCTTGTGCACTTTTGCCACATCCTTCAAACTTGCACCTTTTTCCACCACCATGACGGACACAAAAATCTGTCCGTCCTCTAGCGCTCTTTGTGCACTCAGTTACAGCACACCTCTTTCCACCCCCATGAGCGACACAGAAGTTGGTCCCTCCATGTACACTCTTAGAACAAACCCCACCACCTTGGAAGGCACACCTTTTTCCTCCTCCATGGCCTTTACAAAACGGTGTGCTCCCTTCAGCGCCCTTGGTGCATCCTGGAGTTGTGCAGCGTTTTCCCCCACCATGTGCCTTACAGAACATAGTGCTACCTTGCGCCCCTTTTGTGCATCCTAAGAATTGGCATCGACGACCACCTCCATGCGAAATGCAAAGACCAGAGAGGCCTTCTGCACTCTTTGTGCAGTTTTCTTTCTGGCATCTCTTACCACCACCATGTCGGATGCACAAACCAGATTTCCCTCTAGCAGCTCGAGAGCAACCCTCACGACTGCATCTCCGGCCACCACCATGAGCAATACAAAAATCTGTACGACCTTCTGCACTCTTTGTGCAACCAAGGAATTCACAGCGGCGACCACCCCCATGGGCCTTGCAGTACACTGTTCGGCCCTCAGCTCCCTTGTGGCAGCCTGCTCTCTGACACCTTCGACCTCCACCATGTGAAATACAACGGCCAGAAGCACCTCTGGCACCCTTTCCACATCCCTCAACCTGACATAACTTCGAGCTAATGCTGCGTTGATATGGTTGTTGCTGCTGTGTTATCCCAGAAGTACAGGTGACTGAACTTTTTGGCGTTATCACACTAGATGAGTGGTCTGGAAAACTAGTAGGATCCCTAGTTCTTGGAATCTGGTTGAAGAAGAAGCTAGCCTCTTTGTTCTGGGAAATCTGCAATGGAAGCAATGTGATCTCTGATTTCCAGCTACATGATGTCGATCCTTCATCCACATTTGATGCTCCACCCATTGCCAACGGCATGTCCATGCCAAATTCAAGTGAACTAGAGTGTGGATGGATGCTAGTAATATCAGATTCAGAAGGACCGGTGATGAGACTCAACTCCAAGTCAACCTTGGGCTGAAATTCCATTCTTTTGAGATTTGAACCAGCAGGCTTCTTTGGGCTCAACATCTTCTCATTGCCAAGATGGAGAGAGAAGTCCAATTCAAGATCCATTGAGGACTCTTCATCAGTTTCTTTGGCTGAAGACATTGTTGTGCAAGCAGTTGCTGAACTCCCCTTACTGTCTGAAGAACTTGAGGAGCGGCGAAGCCCAAGAGATAGTGAAGAACCAATATTTTGGCCCATTGATCCATCAATCAAATTCCACTTCCGCTTAATTCCCTTCAAGGGAGACCCATAGGGGATTGAAGATCCTATGGAATCGAGGCGCAAGACAGTATCAGCACTGAATTTAGTGCCAGCTCCTCCAACTCCTCCAGCAGGCACCGAACTGCCCAAAATCTTGAATGCATTTGATGGATAATCAGCAGTGAAACCCAGATTCCGGAACCTGTTGTCCATGGAGCAATGGCTAAAGCTAAGTGATTTCCAAACCTAATATCAATCTTAATGAACAGTGCACCTGACTTCTGGGGTCAAGAAAAATAAACTACAAAACTAGGTTAGACGTCGAAAAAATTAGCTGCAGAACTAGGGTTAGATGTCTCTGAAAGGGTACATCCCACCCCCACTGACGAATCCAGATGTATCACAACGATCCATTTTCTTATGAAGTAGTTTAACCCACAAGCAAGCTGATTAGTTGCAACAGAAGAGGATGAATCCAGGCATATTAGATTCCTTCATAACAGTATGCCAGTCTACTATCCTGTTTCACAAAGAGTCGTATGGTTAGAACAAATATGTTGAAGCACTCCTTAAAAGTAAATGCCACCAGATTTAAAGTGATCTCATGAGATTAAGTAAATGTTTGCATCTATAGAAGCTAGCAACAATTTACTCCCAGCAAAATGAAACAAAAGTGAAAAGAAAAAGAAAGCAATTATTGCAAAATAAGTTGCTCGCAAGGTCCTTTTCAGACAACATGGCATTGCATCAGTACGAAGGTATTGATTGTATATCAGAGTTCATGAATACAAATAATCCCAAATTCACAAGAATATGTGAATCGAGATTCTTTACCTCCACAGTAATATGTAGGACCCTTACAGAGAGGAGGAAAAATAACATAAGAAAAATAGCATAAGATAATTATTATAGATCATTCAATCGATACATGATTACTCAAGATTAAAATCTATGACTTTGGCCCCAAACAGAACATATTTTCTGAAATGCTAACCAAATGGGATAATAGACAAAAGTTCTTCAAAAAGTTAAGTAAACCTCTCTTAAACACCCCAGAAGCAAAGCAAAGACCGAACACAGCAACCAGGTGCCACCTGCAGATCTAGGAGGAAAAAAAGAACAGAAATCAGTAGGATAATTAAAACCGGACAAGTAAAAAATAGCTGCAAAGCTGAACTACAAGCCTAAATTTATAAACATATTTGAGATTAATAAAAGAAAGAAACGTTAATTACTATGGAAACTGCATGTCAGTTTAAATATAATCCACTAAAAGAATCCAAACATGTTTCCCTAAATGAAACCAAACACATTGGTTCTTGCCCTAATTCAAATGAAACACAGCCACTGATTATCTATCCAAAAACCCAATTTAAAAAAAAAAATAATCACATAAATGGAGGGAAAAAACCTGAGAAAAATTAATTATTTGAATTGAGATCTATAAAATTAAAAATCAAACACGAAAAGGGTTTTCGCTGTTTACGTAAAAAGCGTTAATTAATCTTCACGGTTAATAAAGGATAACTAATCAAAAAGAAAACAATAAAAAAATAATAATAAAACTTCGATTGCAATTTTTAAGCAGCCTTGGTAAACACACTAAAACAACACGAACTCGATACATGCTCAAAATTCTACTCGGTTTTGGCTGCTCAAAAAATTGAAAACAAAGCCAAAATCGATAAAGCTAAACTCTTTAGCTACATGAAGCAAAAACATCTTAACTCAACTGAATAAAAAAAAATCGAATTTTCATGCTTTCCTTCAGCTCCTCAGCAATCAAACATAACGTGAATCACAAGAATTCCGATTCAAAAATACAAAATCCAAAATTAAGATGTTAATTAAGGATATGATTATAATTACCTCGAGATTAGAATCGATGGAATCAACGGTGGAGATTACGCGGACGGATCGAACGATGGGGGTTTATCAGGATTTTAGAAGCACCGTCGGCCAGAAGGAAAAAAGAGAGGAGGCGGAGTGAGAGAGGAAATAGCGAGACGAGAGACGCGAAAAAAATGAGGAGAGGGATAGGTGGAAATAACGAATAGAAGAAAAAGGTAATGGTAATCATATAGTAGTACAATTTTTGTTGAAAAATTCATTTATCGAAAAAATAACTGTCCATGGATATTTTATATATTAATAAGTGAATTCTGTAAAATTAGCATGTGTACATTTTATTTTTATTTTTATTTAGATGCTATCTGTAATTAATAATTTTTCTTTTGTTTTTCTAAAAAGAAAAAGGATGAGAGAAAACTAAGATAAATTTTATAATACTTAAGAAAATAAATAGTATGTATTTATAATAGTTACAATCCATTTTTTTTTTAATTTACTCTCTCTTATTATTATTTTTTTTTATGTGTATCTATATCTCTCTATAAAATAGTTTACACTAATTATTTTTTTGAATATTATAAAATTTCTAGAAAACTACCTCATTTACTTGGAAAGTTTAATTTATTAATTATGAATAAGGGATATTAACCAGTGGAGACAGATTTTTTTTTCCCGCATTTTCATGATCTTTATGACTTTTTTTGTCACATAGGATTTGTTTGGTTAGCACATTTAATTTGATAGTGATGAATACGTATAATTTGCCTATGCTTCTGTTTCATAAATTAAGTGAGATGCACTTACATTAAAAACAAAAAAAAAGGGTGGAATAAAAGATATAAATTCATCATACCCATAAATCTTAGAACTTCATGATTTTCACATAATTTAAAAAATATATATACCTTCATTCATGTTTAAATCTTGATTTATGTTTAAACCTTGATCAATACTATGAAGTAAATAATATATAAAGAATTATTTATTTCTTTTGATCTCTCACTTAATGATGGAAATTGAAATGCTTAGTTTTTCTTTTATTCCGTAATTTTCATTAAGAGCCAAAAAGAGGATCGACTCTTCCTCTTATAATCTTAACCCAAGTCTCTTATCAAGACTTATACATGTATTATTATTAATTACGTGTATCAAAATTGATTAGGTACACTTTAATTATACATATATTATCATTAATTATATGTATCTTATTTAATTAGATACACTTTAACTATACATGTGTGTGTGTGTGTCAATTAATATATGTATCTAAATTAATTAGATACACTTTAAATATAATGTATAATATGGTTTACATTCAATGATATATTCTAGATACATGTATCATGTATCATTCTAGATACATTTATCATTGTTAGTGTAAGTGCTTAAGATCCAACCTTTTTGGATAGGTTTGAATTATTATATTATTGCATTATTTATATTAATTATAATAAAAGAAGTCTTTCTATTAATTTTTCTCATTTGCATTCATTCATTGTATAGAATTAGATAGAAGTTTATATAATATATATTTGCATTAGTGATTGATCAAAAGATGTAAGACAAACACTAATGCATATAAATGATATCATTAAATATCCCAAGTCGTAGCATGGTTAAGAATGAACATTGACTACATACGGTTAGACTTATGAGTGTTATGATCATACCATATGATAGCGATAGGAGATCTCGTACCTATTGACATGATAATGTCAAAACAAGCACTTAGGTGATTTATGTTAGAGAACATATCACTAGACTTAACTCCCGTGAGAACCCATTTGGTTTAGTCTATGGGAATCTCATATGAGATAGGTAAAGCTGGTTCTCGGACTTGAGGTCATCATGATTATCTCATTAAAAGATTTATATACTTTGACACTCACTTCGATGGACCTAATAAAGGGTTGCACATGAGCAATTTATTGGGTATATTAGGAATCTAATCGAGGTAGGTGAATGACTAAGATAAAACATGTCATTCCTTTTACACTAAAGGAGTTATCACATTGCACTTCGATGAAAGTCTACTTAAGAAATCTATGGTCACAATAGGAGCACACCAATAGAGTGTAGTTGTTTTACTTTAAGAGATAAAATATTTGAGAATCGAAGAAAACTTATGTGATCGTAATCGAACAAGACTAATAACCAAGTTCGAGATCACATTGTGATAAGTTGACATGAGGACTAAATTGTATGGTTGTCATGCTCATGAAAGGTAATAACGGATTATTTATATTGATTATAATAAAAGAAGTCTTTCAATTAATTCTTCTCATTTATATTCATTCATTGTATAGAATTAGATAGAAGTTTATACGATATACATTTGCATTAGTGATTGATCGAAAGATATAATACAAACACTAATGTATATAAATGATATCATTAAATGTCCCAAGTCATAGCATAGTCAAAAATAAACATTGACTACATGCGGTTAGATTTATGAGCGTTATGCTCATACTATATGATAATAGTAGGCGATCTTATACCTATTAGCATGATAATATCAAAACAAGCACTTAAGTGATTTATGTTATAGAAAATGCCACTAGACTTAACTCTCAATGAGAACCCATTTGTTTTAGTCTATGGAAATCTCATACGAGATAGGTACAATCGGTCCTTAGACTTGAGGTCATCACGGTTATCTCATCGGAGGATTTATGTACTTTGACACTCATTTTGATGGACCTAGTAAAGGGTTGCATATGGATGATTTATTGGATATACTAAGAATCTAATTGAGGTAGTTGAATGACTAAGATAGGACATGTCGTTCCTTTTATGCTAAAGAAGTTATCACATTGCACTTCGATGAAAGTCTACTCAAGAAATCTATGATCACCGTAGGAGCACACCAATAGAGCATAGTTGGTTTACTCTAAGAACTAAGATATTTAAGAATTGAAGAAAACTTATGTAATCATAATCGAACAAGACTAATAACCAAGTTCGAGATCACACTCGTGATAAGTTGATATGATGACTGAATTGTATAGTAGTCATGCTCATAAAAGGTAATAACGGATTAGTTTATCCTCTTAGAGAATTGAGTAGTCATGATGCGTTGCTAGAAGTCAATCTTAACTTATGTATCTAGATATAAAAGAGGTGTCTTTTGTTCTTGATACATTGCCAACATATTTAGTAGTTTATTGAGTCACACACATAAGTTTAAGCATTCACATGATTAAAGAGAAGCAAATATATTAAAAAAAAGTTTTCAATTATGAAATTTTTCTATTTTAGAAAGGGTTTCCATAAATGAAAAGTTTTCTAAAATCAAAAGTTTTCTATTTTAGAAATTAGTTTCCCAATTTGAAAGTTAGTTCCAAATTTAGAAGTAAATA